GTATGATGAAAAAAACGCAAAATATTACATTGGTCGTCACACGAGACCCAAATAATGAATAGAATTAAAAAACAAAAAAAAAGCTATGTGTTGACCCTTGACCCCTCGGTTGGTAAGACGCGTCTACACTTAACACCTGTTTAGTATCTACTTATAAATATGTTAATACTACCACCCACAAGCTGGAGGTGTTTTTTTTTTGTTTGTTTGTTACTTAGATGTGAGGAATAAGTGAAGAAAGTAACCCGAGATGTTTGGGTAAGTCTATAATATTTCAGGATTATATTATAGACAATGGGGACGATAGTTTGGTTTAATCAAAGTTCTAGTCATTAATCAAACATAAATCACTTAAGGTCTCATGTTGTGTCCCTAAATCCCGGACGGTACTAACCTCACTATCTCCTCACACCAGAAGCTTCCTCCAGACTACAGGGTGTTATAAGACCCTTTAAATCCGGTTCACAATGAGGAAATAATCTGCTCTAAAGTTAAGATACGACGCTGAAGAAATAAACATAGATTTGATGTAGTTTACCCAAGGAAAGAAAAAGACGGCGTTCATTCTACTGTTAACTGTACCTAACCTGAGGGAAATATTCTCTCTCTCTCTCTCTCTCTCTCTCTCTCTCTCTGTTCACTAGACTTTGACCCCCCCCCCTCCCTTCCCCTACCAGAACATAGACAAGTGAGACTCAGTAGAGAAGAAAAACACACAGATACTCACTGATCCACACAGACAGACACACACATATAGATGTACAGAGATACGCACATACACACAAGTAGACAAACAGACACAAACAAAGTCTCGTATCATTGTTGTGGATATTCTGTTTTGAATATCGTATGACCTTTGACCTCTTCTTTTGCCTTGACCTCCCTTAAATACCTTGACCTAACTCATAAATAAACTCTATATGCCTGAAAGGGGCCGAGGGGAGGGGGTAGAGGTAAGGGAAAGGTAGGGGGAAAGGGGGGGGAGAGGAGGGGGAGATGGAGGGTGTGGGGGAGAGGGAGAATGAGAGGGAGAGGGTTATTTATAAGATGGATCAGTACCACAATACACTGACCTCTCTAAACCAGTGCCACGATGTTTTGACGTTTCTAAATTAGTGCCAAGGTACTCTGATTTCTCTTGGGTCAATAGCACGAATGCCTAGGGTATTTGATGGACTCCACTGACCCTCACCCCTACCCTTTGACCTCCCTTCCTTTCTTTAGGTCACTTGGCACAATGACCTTATTTTGTTGGAGGTCTCTGTGTTGTTAGTCACTTTAGTGCCTCCAAATTCCACGAGTGTCGACGTTATTGAGGAAGGTATCAAAGCACTTACACTCCCTCCAAATTAAAAAGTGCCTGAGTGAACGTAGAAGAATTTGAGAGGGAAGAAGAGGGTTAGAGAGTCATTAAAGAACAACCACGGAATTACTAACATAAATAAGGTTTTCTAGTGTTTTTCAATTGAACCTGACCAAACGAAACCTGACCTGACCTAACCTAACCTTACCCTTGTTTTGGTAAATTTACGTAGTTTCGTGAACAAAAAGTATTTATCTTCACAAAAATGACAGTTTGCTCTACAATTTACGGCAGTTTGAAGAACACTATTGACCTTGAAAATGTCAATAGCAGCGGGCGTAATTTACAAAAACACCTTGAATGTTTTGTCAGTCAGAGTAACACCACCTTCCCAAACAGAAGCCAATCATGCAACTAACTTCACAAGCCTGAACCCTGAGCATGCGCAGGAGTATCACATGACATCGAGACTCTCACTGATTGGTTGAACATAGTCACGTGAGCAAGATGTAAACAGTCTCTCCCATGAACTTATACTCTACGTGAAAATAACTCGAAAAACATAAATCTGACACAGAAACGTAATAGAGTATATTATTATTATTATTATTTGCTCTATCTCCCTATATAATATAAATATAGAGTTCCGTGGTTGTCCTCTTGTGAATCTTAACCAATAAGGGAGGTCAGGTCAGGGATGTTCAAGTCATGGTAGGTCAGGAGGGAGGCACCAATGCTTGTAAACACGTCCTTCCCATAATTTTTCGTCTTTTAGGAGAGAATTGTAAACAAGTGTCGTACAGAAAACATGTATATATGTATGTATGTCAAGTGCACCTTCACCTATAACCTATTACCTGTACGTGTGACTCATTATGTGTGACTCTTATATGTGACTCAGATTAAAAACAAAACTATGAAAGTATAATATTATAAACTTTGTCTACTGGATATATAATGATGCATTCTGGAATATTCTTCTTCTTCTGGTGTGGAATAATATAGTTAATATATAGTATTAAGTGATCTGAGCCATATTGTGAGCCATCAAAGAGCTATATTACTGATATATGGAGAAATAACACACACACACACACACACACACACACACACACACACACACACACACACAAAATTATTTCAACACAATACTAATTAGCGAAACACTACGAAACACTGAAACACTTAAATGAAACATAATAAAAAATATCAATGTTATTTTTATCTTATCTGTAAAAAATAAATGTAATGGGATAAATTATGTAAATAAAATAGATAATAATTAAGGTCATGAAGAGAGATAAAATAACTAATTAAATGAATCTTACCTGAAATCCTGAGGTAAATTTCAAATAATGTTTTTTATTTTGACTTTTTTCTTGTTAATTAAAATCTTGAAGTAAAGAAAGAAATTAAGGGAAAAAATTTGATTAATATAGGAAAAATATATAATAATTACATATAAATGAAATAAATATAGGAGAGATATATTTTTTACATATATTTATTGTATAGAATAGAATATTGATTAAACTGTATAGCAATTTTAATATCTTATGAGTTAAATTATTAGTATATAAGAGGAGTACAGTATATATTATATTTATGTATATATTATAGCTGATGTATATGAAAAAACCCTGAAGAGAATGATAGCATAGGGTATAATAAGTTCACTATAACGAAAGATTATGAAAAAATATAATTCTCACGTAAATTCCCTAAAAAATTAAGTTTTGATAAATTATGTACATTAATTTATTTAGATTAGGTTAGGGTAATTAGATTAGATAATAATTAACCAGTATACTGTAGAATTAATTATCCAGAATTATCAAGATTTTTTGGATTTTGTGAAGAATTATATTACAGAATTAATAAAAAAATACTGAGAATTTTATCACAATGCTGATGTTCATGGTAGCTGCATCTCTCATGGTAGAGGCGTAAGATTTCATGGTAAGTGTTGTATAAGATGGTGCTGTCATGGTAGAGGGTTGAAGAATCATGGTAGGCGCTTGATAAAGACTTTACTATCATGGTAGTAGTAAACTTATGGTAGTGATGTATAAAAATCTAAGTATCCATCATGGTAGTTACTTATATGACTGTCAAGTAGAGCATCATGGTAGTTACTTATATGACTGTCAAGTAGAGCATCATGGTAGTATAGCATCATGGTAGTTACTTATAAGACTACCTTACTTAAGTCATTATCGACGAGAACACTTTACGCTACTTATAAATGTCTACTTTATGGTACACTTTTATTAATGAGTTTTCTAAAGTGTATTGCTATCACGGGCTGTTAGCGGGTGAGTAGTGTGTACTTTATGTAGTGTATGTGTACATGTGTGTATATATGTAGTGTATGTGTACATGTGTGTATATATGTAGTGTATGTGTACATGTGTGTATATATGTAGTGTATGTGTACATGTGTGTATATATGTAGTGTATGTGTACATGTGTGTATATATGTAGTGTATGTGTACATGTGTGTATATATGTAGTGTATGTGTACATGTGTGTATATATGTAGTGTATGTGTACATGTGTGTATATATGTAGTGTATGTGTACATGATGTGTATATATGTAGTGTATGTGTACATGTGTGTGCGTATACTACTATTCAATCAGTTTACAAAGCAAATGAACAGTTCCCCCTCATACCGACCCGACTCCCCTTACCTTTCCTCCCCCACCCCCCCCCTCATTACCTAACAGTGACATTAAATATTACACCAAATTTTCTTTATAAACATCAATTAAATATCAATGTTTTTCCTCCTTTCCAAAAACCCCCCAAAACAATACAAACAATAATACTAAGATTAATAATAAACATTAATTAAAATCCCAACAGGTAAGCTGCGACAGGTGAGTCAGATGTGTATTACAGGTGAGAAGAAATAGTTATATTAAGTAAAAGGTAAATATATTATGTGTTTATTTATTTATTTATATATTATGCTTATAGTAGTAAATGTTTGTTTATTTTGGTTCCAGTTATTGTATTGTGTGTTTGTACCTGTTCTGTACCTGTTCTGTGTTTGTTTTGTGTTTGTTTTGTACCAGTTCTGTACTTGTTGTGTCTGGTTTCTTATTGTGTATTTGTTTTGTTACAGTGTAAAGGGTTGAATTAGACAAGGAAAATTCTCTCTCTCTCTCTCTCTCTCTCTCTCTCTCTCTCTCTCTCTCTCTCTCTCTCTCTCTCCTGTTTGCTAGGTAGAGGAGGTAGTTACGGTACCTGCGTGATGCTCTCTACACCTCGGTACATTCTGTATGGTATTTATAGGTACTTTAAGGTACTCCTGGGTAGTTTAAGGTACTCCACGGTACTCTTAAGGTGCTCCCAGTACTCTTAAGGTGCTCTCGGTACTCTTAAGGTACTCCACGGTACTCTTAAGATGCCCTCGGTACTCTTAAGGTGCTCCACGGTACTCTTAAGGTACTCCACGGTACTCTTAAGGTGTTTTAAGGTGTTTCCATTTGGCATTTTAAGGTAATTCATTTGCACTTTAAGGTATTCATGGCACTTAAGGTACTTTTATACTTAAGGTACTTGCTATTTACTTGGCATTTATACTTTGGTACTTAAGGTGTTTTATACTTTAAGGTAATTTACATGGCATTCTTATATTCATTTGCATTTTAAGTACTCACTTATACTTATGTTTTATATTTATACTCTCGGTACTCTTAAGGTACTCTCGGTACTCTTAAGGTACTCTCGGTACTCTTCACCACATCCTAGTATCTCCGCCCTTAACCTCCACGAACGACGAAGCAACAACAAGACAGACAGTTTCCCGTTGGAGTGTTTGTGACGTCAGGGGAGCCTCGCCTCTGCCAGGGCTGGAACTTGTGGTCTTAGCCTGGCGAACGTCTTGTTATTATTATTATTGAGAGAGAGATAAAGAGATAGAGATCCTCCTCCATCAAGCGAGAGTCTCTTTAATACTATCTCTCGAGAGTCTCTTTGTTAGCGCCTCCGACCATGACCGCTGTACAGACACACACACACACAGACACACACACACAGACAGGCAGTATCTCAGGGCCGTCATTTGGCATCTTTTAATACGACGTCTCAAAAGATTCTCAGAATAACACAGCACATCTCAGGGATCTCAGGGTCGTTTACGTAACCCGCACATATACACAGACACACACACATACACACACCTTCTAAATACGACCATCTCAAAAAGTCTCATAGAACGACTGTCAACATAACACATCTCAGAGAACAAGACGGTCATCAACACATCTCTAGTCTTGCAAAATCTCACCTCTTGCAACACCTCACCTCATCTCTCACGTCTTGCAACATCTCACCTCATCTCTCACGTCTTGCAACACCTCACCTCATCTCTCACGTCTTGCAACATGTCACCTCTTGCAACATCTCACGTCTTGCAACACCTCACCTCATCTCTCACGTCTTGCAACACCTCACCTCTTGCAACACCTCACCTCATAGCTCTCGACCCGGATCTCAAACACGATTCTTTTCTCATCTCAGAATCACGAGAAACAAACACACTCACAGCTGACACATACACAGCAGTTCATCTCAGGAGCAGTGTGTCAGCAACCCAGCTGTCAACACGGTGATGATGTCCCAGCGGCTGACAGTAGAAAGAAGGACATCTCACGAGGGGGGTCACTCGGTAGCCGTTATTAGAGTAGGACTTGGGTGGGTTGATAGATGGGAGTTGGTAAAGGACATAAGGAGCTCTCTCACCCGTCCTCCACGAGTCCTATAGGTTGTTGCCCTTGTCCTCCCGGAGTAGTCCTACAGGATCCTCCCAGACAGATATCTCAGCAAGACGGCATCCTATAGAAAGGACCCACCACCTGAAGAGCTAGTCGACGGTACCAAACAAGTGCTCTCTGCCACATACTTTGACTGAGCTTGTGATGGTGCTGTCCCGTGCTGCTGCTGCTGCTGCTGTTTCTGCTGCTGCTGCTGCTGTTTCTGTTGCTGCTGCTGCTGCTTTTGCTGTTGTTTTCCTCGATGCTGCTGCGGTGATGCTGCAACTATGGGAGAGCATCTTGGCCGAAGAGTAAGCTCAGCTCCTCCTCGTTGTAGGCGGGGAAACACCCCTCCAAGTATGACTCGAGCGTCTTATATAGGTGCGTCTGGACCCGCTCCAGGTCGTGGCCCTCGTCTGTGTAGGTCTGTTGCCTGTGGACACGACAACAGTTAGTTAGTCCGTCTGTATGTTTACTGTGAGGACATCATTGTACAGAGAGTGAGTCTTAACGTTGTCTCTCGTAATATAAAACTCTCTATAATATTATGAATGAAATAGTAAACAAAAACGTGCCTAACTGACTATATTATTTACTTATACACACCGACAGAGATCTCTACCTCCCTCTCCCCTCACCTATCCTCCCGTCTACCTCCCTCTCCCCTCACCTATCCTCCCGTCTACCTCCTCTCCTCACCCACCTGAAGCTAAACCCTCCTCTCTACGTCCCCTTCCCCTCTACATCCTTCTCCCCTCACCTATCCTCCCCTCACCCACCTGAAGATAATGCCCTTTTTAGTAAGCGCCCGAGAGAACTTGAGGGTGTGGTCGTAGTGGACGTCCGTGTCTGCTGAGCCGTGTACCAGCAGTAGCGTCCTGTTCTTGAAGCTCGACGCCCGCAGGAGGAGGGAGCTCTCTTCATACCCTCTGTAGTTACCGCCTGGGACCACCTGCGCCGTCCCCATGTACTTTTCCGTGTAGTACGACGCTGTAGGAGAGGAGCACAGTGAGGGCGTGGGAAGATGATGAGACTCGTGGGAAAATAAGGAGACTCGTGGGAAAATAAGGGGACTCGTGGGAAAATAGGGGAACTCGTGGGAAAATACGGAGACTCGTGGGAAAATAAGGGGACTCGTGGGAAAATAAGGAGACTCGTGGGAAAAAAGGTTAAATTAAGTTAAGTTAGCATTACCTCAGTTTAAGTAAGGTTAGGTTTGGTTAAGTTAGATTACGGTACATTAAGTTAGGTTAGGGCTAGTTAAATTAGCTTAGGTTTAGTTAAGGAGACTATCAGTAGAATAACCTAAAACAGACAGAGTTAAGCAGTAGTTCTCATTATTAACTCACAGTAGAGGGACCAGTCAGTGATGGGGTTGACAACGGCGGCGCAGGCGAACACTTTATCAGTGTCCTGCGCCAGTAGTCGGGCGGTGTTGTACCCGCTGTGACCCCACCCGAAGGCCGCCACCCGTGACCCGTCCAAGAACTCCAACTTCTCCAGTAGTGATCTGTGGAAAGGAGGTGACTTAAGGTGACCTGGAGTGACCTGACATGACCTTAAGTGAACTGAAGTAACTTTGATTGTACTGAAATGACCTCTCTTGACCTGACTTAACCTGACATGACCTTAAGTGAACTGAAGTGACTTTGATTGTACTGAAATGACCTCTCTTGACCTGAGGTGACCTGAGTTAACCTGAATTGGCTCTCCTGGTCAACAGTAACCGTATCTGAACTAAAACGACACTGATTTACTTAACTGATCAAGTGTTCAGGGATAATCTTACCTAATTATACCTGCGAACTTAAGTGACCTGACCACACACACACACACACACACACACACACACTAAAGAGTGATAAGCAGAATATTAATAATCAACTGTATTAAAAGATAAAAAAATAATAGACACGCGTAATAAACAGTAAACAAACACAAACAATAACAAACAAACAAGACAAAGGGGGAGAGATAGACAGACAGACAAGGAGGGGCTTACGTGACAACAAACCAAACAAACAAGGGAGAAATATGCAAACGCCAAAAGAACTTAAACAAACACTAAAGTAGGAAGGACTTACTTAAACAAACACTAAAGTAGGAAGGACTTACTTATACAAACACTAAAGTAGGAAGGACTTACTTATACAAACACTAAAGTAGGAAGGACTTACTTATACAAACACTAAAGTAGGAAGGACTTACTTAAACAAACACTAAAGTAGGAAGGACTTACTTATACAAACACTAAACAATAAAGGCACTCACTTGACCACAGCCACATGGTCTGTGACTTCCACCTCGCCGAGTCTCCAGGCCGGCTTGTACATGAGTCCTAGATCCTGGCTCGACGCCCCTCTCACATCCACTTCCATGGCCACCCAGGATCTGTAGGAGAGGGCCGGGGTTAGAGAGAGAGAGAGAGAGAGAGAGAGAGTGAGAGGGGAGGGATGGGGAGAGAGAGAGAGAGAGAGTTACACCAGAATGATCAAGTGGTAACCTTAACAAGACTCCTTCTACAGGTAATTTACAGGTGATGGAAGACATACCTGTACAGAAGTGACTGAATATTATACCAAAACAACCCAAGGACACCCAAAGACGACTTCCTTCTACAGGTTAATGATATACAGGTAAGGACGGAGAAGAAGAAGAAGAAGGAAGAGGAGAAGAACAAATAACAATAACAACAACAACAACAATGAGAAGAAGAAGAATAGGAAGAACAAGAACAAGAACAAGAAGAAGAAGAAGGAAGAGGAGAAGAAGAAGGAAGAGGAGGAGAAGAAGGAAGAGGAGGAGAAGAAGGAAGAGGAGAGCAAGAAGAAGGAAGAGGAGATGAAGACGAAGAAGACGAGGGAGAAGGAAAAAAAAATAATAATAATAATAAGAAGAACGTACTTGTTAGAGGCGAGGTAAGTGGTCCAGTCAACATGCCACTTATGGTTGACGCGCTGCTCGCCAGGTACACCGCCCACCTGTACCATCACCGGGTAGATGAACGCCTCCTCCTCCGTGAACTCCGGCGGGATGCTCAGACGTACCTGAAGAAGGAGAAACGAACAAAACCTTTAATAAATAAATAAAACATACGAAGAAAAACCCACTTAAACCCCCCTGCACCCCTGCCCCCCCCCCACACACACACACGCTTCAGAACTCACCTGGGCAACGAAGCCACCATCCAGCTTGACTCTGTAGTCTTTACGCTGCGGCCAAGCCATCTCCAGACTGAGGCGCTGCAGGTGCGTGTTGTTGTGTATGTAAAGCAGCACCTCCTCGTCCACTATCGAGTATAACATCGTATGAGGAACACCTGGACCCTCACACTGAAGGACCACCTGGGGGGGTAAATGGAATTGGAGGGTGAGCGAGAGAGAGAGAGAGAGAGAGAGAGAGAGAGAGAGAGAGAGAGAGAGAGAGAGAGAGAGAGAGATAAGTAACAAAACAATAGAGTTACTCAAGGAAAGCCAGTCAAAGGCACTTAGACCATTGTTCTCCCTCAGCCGTAAGTGCTATGTTTACAGCCTTACGTACGAGCATAACACCCTTAATGACGACCACTCTCGGGGGAAGAACCTGTTATACTGCCTTCTCCCCGTCTCGTATTATATCCAAAGTGATGGCGTAATTTCCTTTCTTGATGGAGTATAAAGGTGATGGAGGTGGAGAGAAGGAAGGAAGGAGATGAGAGGATAGAAGGAAGGAAGGAAGGAGGGAAGGAAGGAAGGAAGGAAGGAAGGAGATGAGAGGATAGAAGGAAGGAAGGAAGGAGATGAGAGGATAGAAGGAAGGAAGGAAGGAAAGAGATGGGAGGATAGAAGGAAGGAAGGAGACAGCAGATGAAAGAGGATAGATGGATGGAAGAGGGAGGTGGTGGACAGGAGACAGTAAATATAGATGGTTAAATGTTTGTATCTACCTTCCTCTATCTTCTTCTGTCCATCTTATTCTCTCCTGTCTCTCTTCCCTCCTCCTCCTGTTTATCTTCCCTTCTCCTTCTCCTCTCTTTCTCCTTCTTTCGTATGTTATAGAGACAAATAAACCGCATTTATTACCTCATTGACTTTAAACAACCGTCCCCCTTAAGAGCTAAAACTTGACCCCCCATCAGGAGTTAAAACTTGACCCCCCAACAGGAGCTAAAACTTGACCCCCCAACAGGAGCTAAAACTTGACCCCCATCAGGAGTTAAGATCTATACCAAGTCTCACAAACAGACATTTAAAAGTCACATGTCTAGATGAACAAGGTAACCATAAACCAGGTAGACATTTTTACAGCCACATGTCTCACCTCGTAGAAGTTGTCAGGACCCATGTAGGGGGTGAAGTGACGACAAGGTGGGGTGGTGTAGTTAAGGTGGCAGGTGAGACACTCCTGCTGGCGGGGCGTAGGTGAGGTCACATCTGTCACTCTCCACAGGTGTCGCTCCGCCACTTCCGTCTCTGTGTTGGCCACGTAGTACCTGAGGGAAGGAGGGCGTGGTGTGAGAGAGAGAGAGAGAGAGAGAGAGACATCAGTATGATATGGTGTAAGATTTCCCTATTTGTAACTCAGAAGCAAAAACTCGACCCCATCAGACTAAGAGACTTCCTCCTTCAGGCAGGTCCTCCTCTAAGCTCGTCACTTACACGTGGTGGTTCTCAGTGTCCCAGCCGACGACGGAGAACACGGTGTAGGTGCCGAAGGTAACGGGGATGGTGTGAACGGTGCCGGTGCTGCCCTGGTGGATGTGTGGATAGGTTCCCGACGTGCTATCTACCAAGGGCGCCACGCTGACGAAGGCGGTGCCGTTCATAGCGAAGAGAGGAACTTTTTCCACCGTCGCCCATCGTCTCGGGCCACTCTCCTCCACGTAGAGCTGTGAGAGATAGGTGAGAGAAGAAGGGAGAGTAGAGGGACATTATTAACGCAGGCTGAAGTTGTACGTCTGAGATATGACTGTGATTGTGTGTGTGTGTGTGTGTGTGTGTGTGTGTGTGTGTGTGTGTGTGTGTGTGTGTATGTATGTGTGTGTGTGTGTGTGTGTGTGTGTGTGTGTATGTGTGTGTGTGTGTGTGTGTGTATGTGTGTGTGTGTGTGTGTGTGTGTGTGTGTGTGTGTGTGTGTGTGTGTGTGTGTGTATGTGTGTGTGTGTGTGTGTGTGTGTGTGTGTGTGTGTGTGTGTGTGTCTAGGTACAGTAAATCACCCACCTCTTCACAGAACCACATGGGTTCGGTGCAGGCGGTGACCACACTCACGTTCTGAGCTCTGTTTCTCCACACCACCGCCACTGTGTCCGCGTCCACCCACGACACCCCGGTGAAGTAGTAGTCCCTGAAGGTGGTGGAGACATGTCAGTACCCCAGTACCACTTCAGGACCACCCCCAGGTCCCTGTCAGTACCCCAGGACCACTCTAGGAGCCTGTCAGTACCCCAGGACCACTCTAGAAGCCTGTCAGTACCCCAGGACCACTCTAGGAGCCTGTCAGTACCCCAGGACCACTCTAGGAGCCTGTCAGTACCCCAGGACCACTCTAGGAGCCTGTCAGTACCCCAGGACCACTCTAGGAGCCTGTCAGTACCCCAGGACCACTCTAGAAGCCTGTCAGTACCCCAGGACCACTCTAGGAGCCTGTCAGTACCCCAGGACCACTCTAGGAGCCTGTCAGTACCCCAGGACCACTCTAGGAGCCTGTCAGTACCCCAGGACCACCCCCATGAAATAGAGGATCTCTATAGGAGATCTGAGGACCATGTTAGTACCTCAGGGTCCTCAGGATACCCCTAGACCATCCTCTGTGTCAGGCAGGTTACAGGTCCAGCAGGTTACAGGTCCAGCATGTTACAGGTCAAGGAGGAGAATTTGTTACGTTTTATACCTCCCTCCTCTTTATTCTTTTCCTTCTTGCTTCTTCTTTATCCCTTGAACCCTTTACTCCTCTTGGCTGTTACAGTAGACTAATACAGCGAAAGAATTACATTAAACTACACAATACAGCACTGCTCTCATTTACCCACTGTTTCTAACTTTCTAAATCACTTTCACTAATACATATCGCTATAAAGCTTCGTAATTAACTACTTGTAGCTATTACAGTACAATACTACCTTAAAGTAACATAAGAAACAACTACTTTTTACTCTAAACTTTCTAATTTACTTTCACTTGTTTAGGTAATCTAATACTTTCACCACCTACTTATTTTGACTCTAATTCACTATTACATAAGATATAAAATGTAATTAATTATATTTATTCATTTATAAGTTCAATTAATTCCCCAAATTAGTTGTAGAGGGGAGGGAGGGAGGAAGGGAGGAAGGAAGGAAGGAAGGAAGGAAGGAAGGAAGGAAGGAAGGAAGGAAGGAAGGGAGGGAGGGAGGAAGGAAGGAAGGAAGGAAGGAAGGGAGGGAGGGAGGGATGGGGAGGGAGCACAAGACTGAGTGACTGACACACCAACCAAGTTATGACATCTAATAGGCCCCCAACTTCTAATGGGCCCCCAACTTCTAATGGGCCCCCAACTTCTAATGGGCCCCAACTTCTAATGGGGCCCCAACTTCTAATGGGCCCCCAACTTCTAATGGGACTCGGTTTCTAATATGTCTTAAGTTCTAATAGGCCTCAGATTCTAATGGGCCCCACCGCCCCAATCGTAATAGGACCCAGCTCTAATAGGTTAAGCCCTAATAGGTCCAAATAGTTTCCAATCCAAAAAGCTCCCAACCTAACCTAACCCAACCCAACCAAGACAGCGACCTTTCCACACCACCCAACCACGACCTCCAACCATCACAAACCACGGCAAGGTGAGGAAGGGAAGACATGTACTTACTTAAAGGGGAGAAGGGGAAGGGGAGAGGGAGTGGGAAGGGGAGAGGGAGGGGGAGGGGGTGTTACTACAATGACTTTCGAACCGATCATTAAATAAAGCTTAGAATTGCACCAATGTTTCAAACCACACCTTGCATTAGCCTGGTCTCCTCCTCATGCTCCTACTCGCCCTCCTCCTACTCGTTCTCCTCCTACTCGCCCTCCTCCTACTCGCCCTCCTCCTACCCCTCTTCCTCTCACAGACAAAAAAATAACAATAATAAAAAAATATATATATAATTGTTATAAAACTTTATTAAAAGTTATTATACCACCATGGTGCTATTGACCAATGATAATCGTCACTGTCTCCAAAGTCTAGTGTCATTGGCTCTCCACCTTACATGCTGGCCAATGATTATCGTTTACAGTATACTTCTAGCTAATCCTAACTTCACTGGTCCTCCAGCTTGCATGCTGACCAATGAGCATATTCTACTTACTCCCTGACGTCATTGGTCTTCCACCTCGCATGCTGACCAATGAGCATCATCTACTCTTCTAAGACCCTGACGTCACTGATCCTCCACCTTACATGCTGACCAATGAACATCGTCTACACCTATGAAACCCAGACGTCATTGATCCTCCACCATACATGCTGACCAATGAGCATCGTCTACACCTAAGAAACCCAGACGTCATTGATCCTCCACCATACATGCTGACCAATGAGCAACGTCTACTCCCTCTGACGTCATCGATAACCAGCACAACACAGTCACAATCACAACAACAAGACACTGGTCGGGGGAGGAACAAACCACACGCCCACTGACTGGTCTCTAACTCGCGTGGGCGGCTTCAGGTCTCTGGGTGCGGGCGGCGACTGACCCAACTCTACCACCCACAGCGTCGCTACCGGGTTGTTTGTGTCTACCTGTGAGGGAAGAGAGAGAAATACACACCTTTAAGCCACCTAATTAACTTCACCCACCACAACACCTGATACACTCACCTACACCCACCACAACACCTGATACACTCACCTACACCACCACAACACCTGATACACTCACCTACACCCACCATAACACCTGATACACTCACCTACACCCACCACAACACCTGATACACTACACCCACCACAACACCTGATACACTCACCACACCCACCACAACACCTGATACACTCACCACACCCACCACAACACCTGATACACTCACCACACCCACCACAACACCTGAGTACACACACAACACCTGATACACCACACCACCACAACACCTGATACACTCACCCACACCACCACAACACCTGATACACCCACCCACACCTACCACAACACCTGATACACTCACCCACACCACCACAACACCTGATACACCACCCCACCCACCACCACACCACCACACACCTACCACAACACCTGATACACTCCACCCACCAACACCTGATACACTCACCCACACCCACCACAACACCTGATACACTACACCACCACACCACCACACACACCTGATACACTCCACCCACACCCCACCACAACACCTGATCACCACCACCACAACACCTGATACACACCTACACCACACAACACCTGATACACTCACCCACACCACCACAACACCTGATACACTCACCTACACCACCACAACACCTGATACACTCACCTACACCACCACAACACCTGATACACTCACCTACACCACACCACACACCTGATACACTCACACCCACACCACAACACCTGATACACTCACCCACACCACCACAACACCTGATACACTCACTCACCCCACCACAACACACTCACCACCCACTGATACACTCACCTACACCACCCACCAAACACCTGTACACCACCTACACCACCACAACACCTGATACACTCACCCACACCACCACAACACCTGATACACTCACCTACACCACCACAACACCTGATACACTCCACCTACACCCACCCTGCACCCAAGGATACACCTGACCCACACCACCACAACACCTGATACACTCCCACACCACCACAACACCTGATACACTCACCCACACCACCACAACACCTGATACACTCCACCACACCCTACACCCACCCACCACAACACCTGATACACTCACCTACTCATACACCACCACACCACCACAACACCTGATACACTCACCTACACCACCAACACTGATACACTCACCTGACACTCACACCACAACACCTGATACACTCACCACACCCACCACAACACCTGATACACTCACCCACCCACCACATACCACACACACCACAACACCTGATACACCCACACCCACACACACCTGATACACTCACCTACACCCCACCACATACACCACCTACACCCACCACCAACACCTGATACACTCACCTACACCACCCAACACCTGACACTCACCTACACCCACCATACACCACCTACACCCACCACAACACCTGATACACTCACCCACACCCACCACAACACCTGATACACTCACCTACACCACCACATCACCTGATACACTCACCTCACCCACCACAACACCTGATACACTCACCTACACCACCACAACACCTGATACACTCACCCACCACCCACACACCCACACACCTGATACACTCACCACACCACCACAACACCTGATACACTCACCTACACACACAACACCTGATACACTCACCACACCCACCATAACACCTGATACACTCACCTACACCCACCAACACCTGATACACTCACCTACACCCACCACACCACCTGATACACTCACCTACACCACCACATCACCTGATACACTCACCTACACCACCACAACACCTGATACACTCACCTACACCCCACAACACCTGATACACTACACACAAACACCTATACACCACCACACCACTACACACCTACACCCACCATAACACCTGGATACACCACCCACACCCACCATAACACCTGATACACTCACCACACCACCACAACACACCACCACAACACCTGATACACTCACCTACACCCCACCACAACACCTGATACACTCACCCACACCCACCACAACACCTGATACACTCACCCACACCCACCACAACACCTGATACACTCCACCCACACCCACCCACAACACCTGATACACTCACCTACACCACCACAACACCTGATACACCCACCCACACCACACCACATACACTCACCCACACCCACCACAACCCTGATACACTCACCCACACCACCACAACACCTGATACACTCACCCACACCACCACATCAATACACACTACACTCTACACCACACACTGGCCTGATACACCTACACCCACCACAACACCTGATACACTCACCTACACCCACCACAACACCTGATACACTCACCTACACCACCACAACACCTGATACACTCACCTACACTCACCACAACACCTGATACACTCACCTACACCCACCATAACACCTGATACACTCACCTTGGGGTACCTGACTTGATTAATGGTAGCATATTTGTCGGTATACACAGGTATTTTGGCCTCCCGTACACCTGAGTCGTTGAAGGAAGCGTAACACAATCTGTTACCCTCCTCGCTAGCCCACACTGCCGATACCGAGTGTAACACGTACTCTGGAGGGTGACGGAGGGGGGGGGGGCAGTTGAGTACAGAGATAATGAGTACATAGATGAAGTGGGGAGATGAGTTGAGTACATACGTGGTGGGTTGAGTACAAAAGTGAGATGAGGTTTGATATTTCTTTAGGTGAGATTAGAGGTGAGATTAGCTGAGACATGGACTGAAATTAGTTAAGTGCTGAGATGAGATGAAAAATGAGAGATTAATTAACCTGTGAGTGAGATTAGACGAGCCAAGAGTGAGGTGAAACATTCATACGATAAATAAAATAAAATATATGGATAAATTCTCATACAATATTATATATTTATTATGAAATACATCTTCATACATTAGTCTTAGAGTTAAATACATTACTTAATAAATTTCCAGATGTATTATTTGAAAAAGACACACACACACACACACACACACACACACACACACACACACACACACACTCACACTCAACACACTCACCTCTGTAAAGATAATCCGTGACGCCATTAAAGACCTTGTGTCGTTCTCCTGTAGTAGTGAGGCGTGAGACGACAGGTGAGGTTGGCGACTCTTTAACGTAGATGTCGTTCTCGTGGACCATGACGAGAGAAGCGGCGGCCCCAGGCACCCATACCACGTGTTGGAGCTCCGGGTGACCCTCCTTGGACGGGAAGGGCGTCACCGATACCACGTGTCTATAGGAGGAACAGGAGTTAGTATCTTGAGTAGGAGAGAGAGGAGGAAGGGTGGGAGTTAGTTTGTAAAGGAGGAAGAGGAGGAGGAAGATCAGGAAGAGGAGTTAATGCGAGCAGGAAGCGTAGTAGAAGGACTGTTGACTAATTAAGAGAACAAGATTGTGTCAGCTGAGCTTGATTATGTTCAGAGAGAGTTGTTTAGTTAGTAGTGGAGGGGCAACAAGGTCTCTCTTCTCTAGTGGAGGGAAGTGAAGGGAAGCTGGTTAGGTTACTGGAGGGAATACACGATCTCTCCTTCATAGCGGAGGGAAGGATAGTCTTATATATCTCATGGAGGGAACTCATAATCTTACCCTTTACAGTGGAGGGTAGTAAAGGAGGGATTATTTAATCAATAGAGGGAACTTGTGACCGGTGTCCTACCACTGGAGGGGCGAGATAAACACCTACTTAATCAGTGGAGGGAATACGTATTTTCCCCTTTCCACTGGAGGGAAGCAGAGAAGAGTCCACTTAATTAACGAAGGGGAGGAAGGGAGGAGGAAGGAGGAAGGAAGGAAGGGAAGGGAGGGAGGAGGAAATATGTAATTAGTACAGTGAGAGCGACACGTTAAGCCTGTCTGGCCGAGATCTTGAGACAGAGAAACACACACACACACACACACACACACACACACACACACACACACACTAAATTAATTAATTTAATTAATATAATGGTTGCCTCTCGTGTACGAGGATGGCCGCCCAAGGGCCACCTAGGCGTGAATTTGTTTAAGGTGTAGAAGCTGCCACCAACACAACAACTACACCCTGAGCTATCGAGCTGCATGTCCCAGTGTCAAGGAACAGTCCGAGAAGACCGGACAACTCGCCAACTGCACTGGCTAACCATTACCCCGAAACACGATCCACAAATCATTTAACATCCAGGTTCCCAATTACTGCTGGGTAGACAGAGGCAAATGGCGTAAAGAAACCTGCCCATAGTTTCACCCTGACCGAGGATCGAGCCCGGGTCCACTAACTTGTGAGGCGAACATGCTGACCACACACACACACACACACACACACACACACACACACACACACACACACACACACACACACACACACACACACACACACACACACACACACCACCATACAAACAGGTGTAATATATTTGTCTCGTCTTTATATGAGGAAGTGAAGACGATACACCTGCAGACACATGTCACTACAGGTGTGGCCGTAACTCACCCTGACGACTCACGGCTCAGGTGTGACGGGCGACACCTGAGAGATTCATTAGCTAATTAGGAGTTTAAGGTGAGCGAGGTGTGCGTGTTAGATGGGAGAGAGAGAGAGAGAGAGAGAGAGAGTAGGAAGGCTATCTCTGGCTGGTTGAGTTTGAAAGGGAGAATGCGGAAGGAAGATAGATAGATAGATAGATAGATAGATAGATAGATAGATAGATAGACAGATAGATAGATATTCCTTTCCCCTCATCACTCTTCCTTCCTCCCCAAACACCGTCTTCCCTCCCTCAATATCTTCCTTCCCTCCTTCTCTCCTTCCTTCCCTCAATCCCCATTCCTCTATCCCTCCCCAACCAACTCATCCATCTCTTCTTCCTCTAGCTAACCTCTCGCCCATCTCCTCCTCATCTCCCCTCCCCTCCCCTCCCCTCTCCACTCTCCCCTCAGCCCTCACAGCGGTCACCATGGCAACGTCTCCTCGCCCACCTCATCACGAAAGCATCAAAACATTGCAGCTGTTCTCTGTTATTGTCCCTATCTCTCTCTCTTTCTCTCTCTATCTCTTTGTACTGTTAATATTTACTGAGAGAGAGAAAGAGAGAGAGAGAGACTTTGCTAGTTATATTTATTCATTGACAAAAACTAAAAAAAAACCAAAACAAATAACATAAACACCATGAAACAGAACTATAAGCGAATTGAAAAACAAATGACGATCACAATATAGAAACGAAACAGAATACAATCCTCCTATACGATCGTAGAAACAATAGGATCCTTCCCTTCCCCTCTCCTTGATGAATCCTTATGTGTGTGTGTGTGTGTGTGTGTGTGTGTGTGTGTGTGTGTGTGTGTGTGTGTGTGTGTGTATATGTGTGTGTGATCCTCCTATACGGTCACTGTAAACACTCGGATCCTTCCTACCCTGATAGAGCCTCGCTGACGCCACCACTTTGTCTTCATCTAAAAAGTTTATGGGATCAGAACCTATATATATGAGCTATAAATGTCGGAAGGGAAGGCTTTGTTGTGATGCCCGGAATAGTGGTCCACACTGTTGAAGGCTGTCTGAATACTGATTGGTGGACTGACTGACTGACATGACTGGTTAACTGACTGTCTGATTGAATGAATGGCTAAATGGTTGACTGAATGATTGGGTGACTGGTTAAAGACAGACTGACTGACTGATAGTTTGGATAGTTGACTCACTGGCTGTTACGTGATTGCTTAACTGATTGGTTGGTTGACTGGTTGACTGGTTGACTGGGTGGGTGATTGGTTTACTGTTCTGTTTGGCTGATTGGTTAAATGAATGAATGGGGAGGTGGCTAGATGGCTGTCTCCCTGTGTGTCTGTCTGTCTGTCTGTCTGTCTGTCTGTCTGTCTGTCTGTCTGTCTGTCTTTATTTACTGAAGAAAAAGCAAAAAAAAATTAAAACAGATCCGAGGTCACACTAAAGACACACCGTGACCTCTTATACCCACTAGAGGTCAAAAGGTCAGAGTCGATTTGACCTCTTCTGACCCCCCATACAAGACTTAAATTGCTCTATCTGAGAGGTCATCTGTTGTGATTGGCTAGGGACGGGGTCAGCCTGGTGTCTTTCTGTCTGTCTGTCTGTCTGTCTGTCCTTACATCTGTCTGTCTGGTTATCTATTTATCTGTCTAATTGCACTTTAATTCCCCTTTATCTCTCCCTCTTCTCTCTTTCTCTCTCCCTCTTTCATTTCCTGCTGTGAATTCTTTCCTCCTCTCACCCTCTCCAAACTATTTCCCATTCCAATCCCTCTCACACTCTCCTTCCCCATTCTCTCTCCCAAACCACTTCTACCACTCAACAAATCTCCTCCTCTCTCTCTCCCCCCCCTCTCTCTCTCTCTCTCTCTCTCTCTCTCTTCTCTTTCGTCTCTCTGATAACTTTTTCCCCTATCCCTCTCTTCTGGTCTTTTTCCCCTCTTTCCCAAACATTCTTTCCCCTCCCTCCTCACTTTCCTTCTCCTTCCCACCCACCCACCCACCCACACACACACACACACACACACACACACACACACACACATATACCCACACACACACACACACACACTGGCATAAATCTTCTGTAACCCTTAGCCCTCGTTCGGACCCTTACAGGCACCCTAGTTAATGGTGTTTGCCCTAAAGTGGAGACGTGTAGGTTTATCCTAATTGGTTCACTTAATTTGAGAGAGGAGAGAGAGATACAATATTAATGGTCTAGGAACATAAATACAATATCTGTTACAGTTAAAATACAGAATGTGTACCACCAACAGCTGCCCACACTCGCCGCCATTACAGTCAAGGGATACAGTCGCGTTACATAATAAATTTGCATAGGGTGTGACTGTACTATCTGGCAGAGACTCAGAAGCTCCTAGGCGGGTTTGTTACTTACGATAATCTCTAACGTAACGTAAAGTAACGTAGCGTAACGAAACGAAACCTAACCTAACCTAACCTAACATAATGTAACATAATGTAACACAACATAATGTCTAATGCAACGGAACGCGACGTAACGTAACATAGCGTAACCTAACCTAACCTAACCTAACCTAACCTAACCTAACCTAACTTAACTTAACCTAACCTAAGGTATTTATTTAAATATTCCCAAAAACCCCTCGAAAAACCCTTGATAATAAACCAGTTTTAACATAAATATTAAAGGAATTATACACGATTAGTATGAGTTAAACCACCTAAAGTAAGCTTGTTGGTTTAACTATAGTCATACGTACATACATACATACATACATACATACATACATACATACATACATACATACATACATACACAAAAACAAACACACAGATATAGACGGATATGTTAGTTTAGCTGTTCGGTCGAGATACCAGATGGGAAGGTTAACAGTGTGTGTGTGTGTGTGTGTGTGTGTGTGTGTGTGTGTGTGCGTGTGTGTGTGTACAGGCATGACTCATGTTCTTGTTTACTTACACACACTTACCCGGGCGACGCATGCGCAGTACACCTCCTCCACCCACCGCTTGCTTACTCCCTTCCTCTGTCTATCTATCCCCCACCCCCTATCGTTCATCCATCCATCCATCCATCCATCCATCCACCCATCCATCCATCCACATCACTCTTGAATGTTGACAGGGAGATTTTAATTGTTTTTCTGCTTGTAGTTTGCACGATCTCTCTCTCTCTCTCTCTCTCTCTCTCTCTCTCTCTCTCTCTCTCTCTCTCTCTCTCTCTCTCTCTCTCTCTCTCTCTCTCTCTCTCTCTCTCTCTCTTCTTCACGTGTCAAAAATCGATATCAATATCTAGTTAGGTGGCAGTGTAGGTGAGTCAACACAGCAAAAATGACATCATATCAACACACACACTCACACACTCAACACACTCACACTCAACACACTCAACACACTCACACACACACTCACACACACACTAATTCCCATTATCTCCCCGGCCTTAATAACCAAGACCCTTCATTAAGACACAGGACATGGAACCATGCCCTCTCTCTACACCTCCTCTCCCCATTCCTTCCACCCCCCCTGCATTTCCCCTCCACCCCCCCCTACACCCCTTTACCCCATCCACCCTCCCCATCCCCTCCTCCCCTCACACACCTCCCCCACCTCCCCACCCCTCCTCCCCACCCCCTCCTCCCCCCACCCCTCCTCCCCCACCCCCCACACAGCCTGACGTAAACAAACCTATTCAGGGCTCCAATGATCCCAACTTTGTGTAAATGGAACGATTGTTTGTCTGTAATTGGTGATTAACAGAACGTCCCTATTGGTGTTAACTACCCAATCACACTAAGTCTTCTCAGGTTAAATGGAGGTAATTGCGTTAAAGGGGCTGTTTCGATTAAGAGCAGAGAATGAAACCCAGATGAAACGATTTACTATGACTTAATTTGCATACCGTGTCTCAGTGTTTATGCAAATGAGTACAGGTACATTGTTGAAGGTTTATCTTTGGGTTGGTATAAAAATTGAGGTCACCTGAAGATATATTTTAATTACTTTTTAATTGACCTCTGACCTTTGGTATCTTGTAATGAGACCTTCAAATTATCTCTGAGTTAAAAATGACTCAATGAATGTATTACTGATCTCTGACTTAACTTAATTCATTCTAACCTAACCTAACCTAACCTCATTTACATACCATTTACTTATAAAACTTAATTAAGTATTTGTCTGGTTTAGGTTTAAGTAAAATTTCTTTGGCACTTAATTACTTACTTATAAGAGTCCTATTTACATGCCCTATACTTATAAAAATTGTATAAGTACTTACTCCGAGTCCATTTGTAGCACCGTGTACTTGGCCAAGTGGCGGAAGTGTCGAGTCTGGGGAAGAAAAACACTTTATAAGTTGGTGTTAAGTAACTTGCGGTAACCATGCCAACCAAAATCTGAGGGGAAAGATATTTACGTTACCATGACAACAACATTACAGAGGGCACGTGAGTACTAATTAATTTTTGGGGTTACCATGGCAACGGGAATAATGCAGAGAAATACGTGATAATTATTTTTGAGGTTACCATGACAACACGATCGAACACAAACGATTCCATTCAAGTGTTTGTATTCCTGTTCGTAAATTGAATCGAACACACTGAAATGTTCGTAATGGAGAAGTGGTGAGAAGACAGGGGATGAGGGGTGTTCGGATGAGGGATGTTCGGATGAGGGGTGTTCGGATGAGGGGTCCTCGGATGAGGGATGTTCGGATGAGGGGTGTTCGGATGAGGGGTGTTCGGATGAGGGGTCCTCGGATGAGGGATGTTCGGATGAGGGGTGTTCGGATGAGGGGTGTTCGGATGAGAGGGGGAAGTGGAGGTGGAGTGATGAGAGGAAGAGGGAGAGGAAGGAAGGAAAATGAGGGAAAGGAGGGAAGGAGAGGGAGAGAAAAAGGACTGAAGGAAGGAGATAAAGAGAAGAGAGGGAAGATGGGTCATTAGAATAGATGCTGTGTGTGTGTGTGTGTGTGCGTGTGTGTGTGTGTGTGTGTGTGTGTGTGTGTGTGTGTGTGTGTGTGTGTGTGTGTGTGTGTGTGTGTGCGTGTGTGTGTGGTCGGAGGAGATAGCTTGCACTATGCAGACGCCACCAGACCTTGTGTCTGGAAACATGATAGGACTGGGTGGGGTATAGGGGAGGGGGTACTGTGTGGGTTGGGTAGGGAGGGTGGGGGGTGTATAGGAGGGTACTGTGGATTAGGTATTGGGGAGATTGGGGTATAGGGAGGAGGGGGTACTGTGGGTTAGGTGGGGGTATATGGAGGGGTGAGGGGTACTGTGGAGGTTGGTAGGGGGAGGTGGGGTATAGGGAGGGAGGGGGTACTGTGAGTTAGGTAGAGGAGGGAGGGGGAGGGTACTGTGGGTTGGAAGTGGGAGAGATTGGGGTATATGGAGGAGGGTGCTGTGGGTTAGGTAGGGGAGGGATTGGGGGTATAGATGAGGGGGAGGGGTACTGTGGATTAGGTAGGGGGAGGGTGGGGGTATGTGGTAGGGGATGGGGGTAACTGATTTGCATACCCGTCTGAAGGTTATGTGGTAAGTGAATGTGTTTTGGTGCCAGTCACTCACAGACAGACAGACAGACAGATAGACAGACAGACAGACAGACAGACAAAGCCAGATATAATTACAGGTACAGATACAGGCACAGGTGCAATATTATAGGTACATTTAAAGATACAGTCAGGTACAGAAAAAAGCCTCAGGTACAAGTACAGATGCAGAAAAGTACATAAACAAGCACAAGTACAGATACAGGTACAAACACAGGTACAGATACAGGTACATAAGCAGGTACAATACAAGAAACAGTTCATAATTAATTTAAGATAACAGTAAAATGTTAATTAGATATAGTATATATTTTTCTCCAATGGCGTAAACACAATATAGTTTCTTATAAATTCGATAGATAGATAGATAGATAAATAGATAGATAGATAGATAGATAGATAGATAGATAGATAAGTCTCCTATATTCTGAACCTCCATTTTCTATTACAAAATCAACAAAGAAAACGTCCTTAGGGTAACTTAAATAATACTGTAATATACTAATTCATAAAATACAAAATACATTTCACACTACAGTAATGAAACGCGAAATAAACCTGAATGTAATAAAACTGTCCATTTGGCCGTAATTAAACCCCACAAAACTAGTTACCAATACAGAGTTAAAGGGACGGTTTACCGGTGTTTGTTTACATGATAGAAATAAAGTTCGCGATTTAAAGGGACTAATTTTTTAACGGGTGATAAAGTTAGCGTTTGGTTAAAATAGACAATAGGGGAGTTTATTATAGTATTAAATTGATATATAATGAAGAGAATGTTTGTAATATATAATTGAGATATATAATTAGTGATTATGTAAGCTGGTATTTATTGATTTAGTTATTTAATTATTTTGTCCATTTAATTAATGATCTGAGAACGAATATTAAATGAGACATTAATTTGGCGTCAGTCTAAGGAGCATTGATTTAAAGAACATAATTTTCGCGATACAAATTAAGGAACGCTGAAACAGAGACATTAATTTCGCGTTAATATTATCTCCCTAAACTCTCTAATTAACAACAAAATTATAAAAATTTAATTAATTCATACTTAAAAACACCTCTTTAACCCACAACAATATAATTACGTTAGCTCCCCCAGATATAATTGGATAGTTGGGTCATTAACGTGTTTTTACATAATTATAGAAAACGGGAAATTGTGTAATTCTTGTATAGTTCTGTGTGTAGTAGAGAGAGAGAGAGACTTCCCTGTCATTTAGATAACTGATCATCCTGGGAATAATAAAGATTGGCTGGAGTTTCAACTATTAATCACTTATAACACAACACTTCAGTCCTTGTTCGTCCTAGGCTTCGTAAACATCCTTTATAAGATGTCTGTCTGTCTGTCTGTCAACTTATTTAATTTTATACACACGTTCCCAAAATTCCCAGAAACTAGGAATGACAGGAATGAGTGGGAATGTGGGACACGATATAAGTTTAATGTTCCCAAATTCCTGTCGTGGTTAGGGCTACCAACCTTGTCGATATTCCCAGGGAAATTACAGTCCTGCCAACCCTTCTGAGAGATGTTCCCAAGTTGAAGTATTTATTGATTGTATACGTGGAGAGAGAGAGAGAGAGAGAGAGAGAGAGAGAGAGAGAGAGAGAGAGAGAGAGAGAGATACCTTCCCTTTAGTGACAACGGTCAGACGCCAATTTCAAAACTTTAAGAGATAAAAAAAAATCGTTCAAATCCTAATCTGACCTTCACACCCCTTGACCCCGCGTGACCTGACCTACACCAAGAAGTAAAAAAGCTTGACCTCCAGATTTTGACCTCAAGATTAAGGGGTTTGAAGACTATTGATCAAATCTTGGAACTCGAATTCAAGTGGCATTTTATCCTGTGACCTGACCTCGGCTAGAGAGAGAGAGAGAGAGAGAGAGAGAGAGAGAGAGAGAGAGAGAGATGAACCAAGACTAACTTATTATCTCGGAATTCTTTTAATATAATAAATCTGGTAATAAAATGTCACCATGTGTATAATCTCCCTCCTCTCCCCCAAGAGGATCGAACCCTCACTTAACGAGCCGAGACGCAGGGCATGACAGAGGGAGGTGAATTGCATGGTATGTGAGGGGTGATTGTAGTGCGTGCGACGTGGCAGGGTGTGTGTGTGTGTGTGTGTGTAATAATAATAATAATAATAATAATAATTAACGGTTTATTGAAAAAGCATGGCAGCCGGAAGGCTGAAAATATACAATTATATAATTGGGGAATGGGTCTCTTGATTTACAAATGATGTACAAGTAACATAAGTGATACAAATATGATATATAATAATTAGGTGTTGATAATTTTTACAATGGTTGGGACTGTGCTGTTCTTGTAGCAATCAGTTCGTGCTCGTTTGGGCTGGAGCGGGTTGGGCGGGTGTGGCCACATGGCCAGGACAGTAGCTTGGGGCAATGCAGGTGTGCTCCATCCTTCAGGTTAGGTCAGGTGAAGCCGTGAGGTCAGGTCAGGTCCAGCCACACTCAGTATTGCTGTGTTTTTGTGCTTTTCCTTCGAGTTAAAATTGCCACTTTTGTATATCATCCCCCACACACACACACCCATCACCCTCCACACACATACGCCATCACCTACACACACACGCCATCACCCCCACACACACACACACGTTATCACCCCCACGTCAATAATATTCTCAACCAAACAACCAAACACTCCATCTAATCTAATATCCATAACACAAAAACGAAAAAAAATATATATTATTTTTATTAACGAGTAGAAAACAAAAAACAAAGCTCCAGATAATTCCAATATAATAATTAATATTGAGACTTGACATATTATTAAACAGTATTAATCCAGTTATGATAATGGAACCGTGTGTAGTATAATAATATATGAATAATATTAATACATGAATAATAATAGTAATAATAATAAGAAATAATAATGATAAATAGACAACAACAACAACAACAAAAACACAAACAACAACAGCAACAATAACAACAAAAACAACGACTAAAACAACAACAAAATTATAAATCAGACCAAACTCTCAGGCTAAAATAAATTAATTAAATAAAAGATAAAGGAGACGATAATTTTTGACGCACCTGAAGTGTCCAAGACGTGAGTTAATTGATATGCAAATTAGATCACAGGTGAAGGACTAAGATGGTGATTAATTCATACTGATTTTGTTTAATAATGTGAAGAGAGAGAGAGAGAGAGAGAGAGAGAGAGAGAGAGAGAGAGAGAGAAGCAGAGAAGGTGACGGGTAAACAGAGACAGACAGAAAGACAGACAGACAAGAAGAAAGAAAGGAAAAAACAAAAACATATCCAGACAGATAAACAAGCACAAAAACAGACAGACAGACAGACAGACAGACAGACAAGCACAAAAACAGACATACAGACATACATACATACATACATACAGACAAGCACAAAAACATACATACATACAGACAGACAGACAAGCACAAAAACAGATAGACAGACAGACAGACAGACAGACAGACAGACACCTCACCCTCACACGACAAAAACCCCCACAACACTGAATTAGGTCCAGACAGGAACCCAAACACACTTTTCACTTTAACCCCCCCCGCCCCTCCCCCTGCCCCCCCAAAGCGGCAGAATGTTTCTTCTAATTTGTTCCACCAAGGGAAAAAAATAACTCAGGAGGGAAACCTATTCTTTTCTGAGGGCAAGATTATATTTCGCTGCTGGGCTGTGATTAAGGAGAGAGAGAGAGAGAGAGAGAGAGAGAGAGAGAGAGAGCCCAGTGAGCATAAAATCAACAATACTTGAACCTCCAGAGCGTAAAGACGAGTTTACAAACGATCAAAAGTCCTTGAACACACCTGAGACTTGGAACTGTTGGAACGAGTCTCTCTCTCTCTCTAACCCCAGCGAGTGCGTCATCATACACAAAACGACTCGTAAACACAGAATATCTCCCAGAGCTTCATCCCGCTGGACCCAAAACAAAACCCTCATATTTAGTAGGATTTTACACCATAATCAGGGGGATTTAACTATAAATCCTCTACTTTATGCCCAAAGAAATCTCAGGCGGATTAGTGGTGTAATTTATAACGTTCTAGTGTATTCTAAAGGAGATTTATTCAAGTTTGTTTTAGTGTGTGTTGTTGTGGGTATAATTTGACGAATGAAAGAGTTACCATTAAATAGTTTTCTTTAATATTTACTGTAAGAGAAAACGTTAGTAGGTATTTTTTTTGTCTTACTGTTATTCTTTCTTTCTCTTTCTATCTGTCTGTAGTTACAATAATTAAATTCTACCGTAATTTGTTCCCTAAAATGATCTATTATAAAAAAAAAATCATATTTATTATATCTGACTCGAATGATATATTTCATGACGTCACGGTTGGTTGGCTAATGACAGCCCCCCGCAGATATTACGTCAAAGATAGGAAACCAATTACAGCTGCCACAAATGATAGAATTTATGACGTCACAGATGGGAAGCCCAATTAGAGACGACCTGGAGTCAGTGATGCCAGACAAGTGCATTGCTGAGGTCTAGGAATTTCTTTTTTCATTAGATAGATTAATAGATAGATAGATGAACTTAACATACTACGACTATTACTACTACTACTACTACTACTACTACAGGTCAGAGACACGACAGGTATAGGATCAAAATAAACCCCTGTCAACTACCTGTCCTTAATTAATCAACTTTCAGGTGTATTCAGGTATGGTTACGGTTGATGACCTAACTCTGGTTGTTAAGTTACTCACTGTCTGTCTCACTGTCTCACGAGTTTATACACACAACAAACAATATAATATAAATAACATAGAAATCCGATTACCAAGTCGGATTCACTCACGAACGTCATCAACCACATCACAGAGAGAGTTCTTAACCCCTACAGTGTTTTAATAATCTCTAAATCCAGGAGAGTTTGAGACAGATAATTGGAGAGAATCTGTCTAAATGGACGACCTATCAATCTCTGTCTGTCTTGAGATATTTAAATGGGTTATGTATGTATGTATGTATGTATGTATGTATGTATGTATGTATAAATACGAGTATGTACATAGACACAGGGAAGTATACATATACCTACACATCCAAGACAAAACAACAAGAAAGAGGACAACAACGAGCACAACAGTAACATTAACTGATAATTTGAAGTATAATAAAATCATGCATGTCTGTCTATCTCTCTGTCTGTCTGTCTGTGTGTCTGTGTCTGTCTATCTCTCTGTCTGTCTGTCTGTATGTCTGTCTCTCTCTGTCTGTGTCTCCTATTTCACTTACAGTATACATATTTCTCTCCAGCTTTGATATAACGGAATAGCCTTTCAACATAAAGTCCGTTAAATAAGAGTTTTCATGTATATCGGATTACCCCCTCCCCCCCCCCTCATAAATAGTCCGTTAAATAGAAGTCTCACTGTATAACGGACTATTCCCCTCATATATAGTCCGTTAAATAGAAGTCTCACTGTATAACGGACTACTCCCCTCATATATAGTCCGTTAAATAGAGGTTTCACTATATATGTATCTTATATGTATTAAGTTTTATAGAAGCCAAAAAAAAAGCCAAAAAAAAAAAACTCATTCAGATAATATAAAATAATTACTCACGGGGAACTCATCTGGGCAAGAGATGTAGTCATAGTCCTGGAAGAGGGAGAGAAAGAGGGAGAGGAGATAAGGAGAATAAAGGAATTAGTTATATTACCTGCCATGGAAGAGAGAGAGAGAGAGAGAGAGAGAGAGATCGTCTGAGATGTTCTCATACATATATGATATTATTATTGCCATTGCCATTATTACATCTCTCACCCATCATCTCTCCGTCTCTCACTAGGATAAAATCTCTTTCATGTGTCCGTCAGGGGAATTCTAGTCTATTTCATCTGTTAATCTTTTTTATATATCTTTTGTTTGTTGCTTAAACCACTCAAGGCGGCCTATGGTGTTGAGAGGGCCTTTAGTCTGGAGAGGGTCTTGTCTTGAGAGGGACTTGTGTTGAAAGGGCCTTGTCTGGAGAGGGCCTTGTCTTGAGAGGGCCTTGTCTTGAGAGGTCCCTGTCTGAAGAGGGCCTAGTCTTGAAAGGGACTTGTGTTGAAAGGGTCTTGTCTGGAGAGGGCCTTGTCTGGAGAGGGCCTTGTCTTGAAAGGGACTTGTGTTGAAAGGGCCTTGTCTGGAGAGGACCTTGTCTGGAGAGGGCCTTGTCTGGAGAGGGCCTAGTCTGGAGAGGGCTTTGTCTGAAGAGGGCCTAGTCTTAAGAGGGCCTTGTCTTGAGAGGTCTTTGTCTTGAGAGGGCCTTGTCTTGAGAGGGCCTTGTGCTGAAAGGGTCTTGTCCCGGAGAGAGGGCCTTGTCTTGAGAGGGCCTTGTCTTGAGAGGTCCTTGTCTTGAGAGGGCCTTGTCATCAGAGGGCCTTGCCATCAGAGGGCCTTGTCATCAGAGGGCCTTGTCTGGAGAAGGCCTTGTCTTGAGAGGTCCTTGTCTTGAGAGGTCCTTGTCATCAGAGGGCCTTGTCATCAGAGGGCCTTGTCATCAGAGGGCCTTGTCATCAGAGGGCCTTGTCATCAGAGGGCCTTGTCATCAGAGGGCCTTGTCTGAAGAGGGAATTGTCCTCAACAGAGCATTTGATGTTTACAATTTTTTTTTAAATCTTTCGTTTGTTGCTGAAATCTCTCGCGACATCATCAAAGGAAGTCCATTGTAAGTACGAGAGAGAGAGAGAGAGAGAGAGAGAGAGAGAGAGAGATAACCTTAAACCAAACGCTCCACCCCTTAAACCACAAGAATACCACCCTTTAAACCATCAGCATCTCCACTCTTTTCCCTTAACTCTAACAACCACATAATCTTTTCTTCCGCGTTCAGAAATCTTCACAGGAGAACGACCATCAGTGTGTGCCATCCAGGAGCAGGTTTGGCAAGATGAGGGGGAAGGAAGGGAGGAGAGAGGGGAAGGAAAGGAAGGAGGAATAACTAAAGAAGGAGAATGAGGAGGCGATGGGAAACGGAGGTGTTATTTGCTACGTAGGAAAAACGCCTTTATGATTAATATCTAGACCAGGTGTGTGTGTGTGTGTGTGTGTGTGTGTGTGTGTGTGTGTGTGTGCGGTATATGTGTATGTGTTGTGTCTTGAAGGGAATTTCCTTCAAGACAAATCACCAAAACCTGAAATATTAAATTTTCCTGAATAAATTTCACTAAAATTAGATTTAACTCTTAATGAACCGACGTAAAAAAATAAATAAAAAATAATAAGTGATTTTTAAGATTAACATTGCTACCTTAAAAAAATGCATATAATTTACACATTTCAAAAGGTATTCTCAGAACTCTCAAAAATGAAAACTTTTTTTTTTCATTGCTCTGCGTCGCGACACTTGGGCCCGGCAGCTGTGATGGACGACCTGGGAATATTTTAGCTCAGTGGTTTCATCTTCTTAAACAAGATTAATGTTTAAAGATTTTTTGGTTGAATAATGACGTCTGTATGACACCTTAATACAACTGGTTTTTATAGAGAGATTAATGAGTTGGTGGTGATAGTGGTGGTGTTATTGGTGGTGTTGGTGGTGGTGTTAGTGACGGTGATGGTGATAAATCAACCTTGCTGAGAGAGAGAGAGAGAGAGAGAGAGAGAGAGAGAGAGAGAGAGAGAGAGAGAGAGAATGGTTATCATTTCAAAACGAAAGGGGAGAAATCTCTTGGTTGTATCTCCCCTCTATCTCTCTCTATCTTCCCTCATGCTTCTCTCTGTCTCCCCTCTCGTCTCACTTCACCTCCCTTCTTTCATTATCTCTCTCTCTCTCTATCTCTCTATTCGGTAGAACCAGAAATGAGCACAAGAACTTTATTGAAGTCTGGTACACATATGCCCTTTAAGCCCTGAGCGGTAAGGCTTCAACTCTACTTCTGACATTTTACCAGAAGAGAGAGAGAGAGAGAGAGAGAGAGAGAGAGAGAGAGAGAGAGAGAGAGAGAGAGAGAGAGTCCCTAAATATAAAATAGGGCTGGACCATAAATGACCCGGCCTATTAAGTTTGCACATTGAAGATGCTTGTGACCTTGTAGTGGTAGGGATAGTGGGTATGTTGTAGGGTTGTAGTATGGTTGTGGTAGGGGTTGTAGTAGGGATTGTGGTATGGTTGTGGTAGGGATTGTGGTAGGGGTTGTGGTAGAGGTTGTGGTAGTGGTTGTGGTAGGGGTTGTGTAGGGGGTGGGGTAGAGGTAGTAGGGGTTGTAGTAGGGGTTGTAGGTGTTGTAGTAGGGGATGTGGTAGGGGTTGTAGTAGGGTTGTGTGGTAGTTGTGGTAGGGGTTGTAGTAGTGGTTTTGGGTAGGGGTAGTAGGGTCTAGGAAAGAGTTTGTAGGTCAGAAGTAATGTAGTATTGTAGAATAGTAGGGCTGAGGTAAAGAGGTAGTGGTTGAGAGTTTGTATAGGGGTTGTAGTAGGGTTATAGAACAGTAGATGGGTAGGGTCAGGTAGTGGTTGCAGTAGGGGTTGTAGGGGTTAGAGTAGTGGTAGTAGTAGTAGTGGTAGTAGGGGTTGTAGGAGGGGATGTAGGTAGAAAGTAGTGGTTGTGGTAGTGGTTGTAGTGTAGAGTAGGGGTTGTAATAGGATGGGTAGGGTTATAGCAGTGGTTGAGGAAGTGGGTTGTAGTAGGGTCAGTGTAGGGGTCAGTAGGGGCTAGTAGGGGATAGGTTGTAGTAGTGGTTGTGGTAGTGGTTTATAGGGTTGTAATAGGGGCTGTAGTAGGGTGTAGTAGGGTGTGGTAGTGGTTGTAGTAGGGTTGTGGTAGTGGTTTTAGTAGGGTTAATAGGGGTTGTAGTAGGGGTTGTAGTAGTGGTTGTGGTAGTGGTTGTAGTAGGGGTTGTAGTAGGGGATGTGGTAAGAGGTGTATGGGTTGTGGTAGTGGTTTTAGTAGGGGTTGTAATAGGGTTGTAGTAGGGTTGTAGTAGTGGTTGTAGTAGGGGTTGTAGTAGGGGTTGTAGTAGGGGTTGTAGTAGGGGTTGTAGTAGGGGATGTGGTAGGGTTGTGGTAGGGAAACACCATAGTAAAAACATCATATCGGAAAGAGTGAATGACAATGAATGAATCACAGTTAATAAATAAATTAAAACAATAAATTAATTCATCATGTAAAGACTTAAAAGGCGGACAGATAATTGCCACGAGACTCAACAATAACCTCGACATACACACACACGGACATTCTCTCTACAACCACACCCATATATACAACCACACCCATATATACAACCACACCCATATATTTTGATGGTATATAGACGCCCAGGTGACAGGTGTGGTTGAGGGAACATGCACTGACGACATTTGCATGACGGTACAGGTGTGTGGGGTGGGTGGGTGGGTGGGTGGGGGGGCGGTCATGCACACCTGCCCTTTAAAGATATCGAGTCGCAATCAACACACAAAGGTAACCACAGGTAGGCGGGTCGATGATGGGGACTCTCTCAAGAACCTCGTGCGTGGTGTTTGTTGTGTTTGTGCGTGGTGTTTGTTGTGTTTGTGCGTGGTGTTTGTTGTGTTGCGTGTGCGTGGTTGTGTTTGTGCGTGGTGTTTGTTGTGTTTGTGCGTGGTGTTTGTTGTGTTTGTGCGTGGTGTTTGTTGTGTTTGTGCGTGGTGTTTGTTGCGTTTGTGCGTGATGTTTGTTGCTGTTTGTGCGTGGTGTTTGTTGTGCTTGTGCGTGGTGTTTGTTGTGTTTGTGCGTGGTGTTTGTTGTGTTTGTGCGTGGTGTTTGTTGTGTTTGTGCGTGGTGTTTGTTGTGTTTGTGCGTGGTGTTTGTTGTGTTTGTGCGTTTGTATTTGTGCGTGGTGTTGGTTTATGTGTGTGTTTGTGCGTGTGCGTGGTGTTTGTTGCGTTTGTGCGTGTGTGTTTATGTGTTTGTGTTTGTTTATGTTCGCTTATTTTTGTTGGTTTGTTTTCCATTCTAGAACAATTTTCGAATCCGAGACGACTGGAAGAGAGAGAGAGAGAGAGAGAGAGAGAGAGAGAGAGAGAGAGAGAGAGAGAGAGAGAGATTTTATTGTTCTTCATTGCTGTTATTTCCTTTATTAACTTGAGTTCGTGTTATTGTTCTTCTTGTTCTTGCTATTGTTGCTTTTGTTGTTGTTCTTGTTTATATCGTTCTTCTTGTTAGTCTTCTTGTTCTTGTTCTTCATGTTATTGTTCTTGTTCTTCTTGTTCTTCTTCCTGTACTTGTTATTTTTGTTCTAAACTAAATAATTCAATGACTCATTTTTTTTATAGTACAATAATAACTTTTTATTCCCTTATAAATCCGTCAAAAAATAAAAATACCGAAATTCCCTAAAAATCCGAAATCCCTAAAAAAAAATCCCATATTCCCTAAAAAAAATCTTAAATTCAGTAAAAAAAAAATCTGATAATCGGCAAAAAATCCGAAATTCCCTTAAAAAAATACAAAATTCCCTAAAAAATCCTCAATTCCTTAAAAAAAAATCTGAAATTCAGTAAAAGGAAATCCTAAAAAAAAATCTGGTTAATATTCACACGTTAAAAAAGGTTAATTAAAAATTTTCACTGACGTAATAACGAGTGAGGGATTCAATCAGCCGTAACGAGCGTGTGATGTAGTTAGGCTGTTAACGCCACTAACGAGGTCATTCCG